AAGCTGCAGCTTCCGATACAGATTTTACAGTACTATAACAAAACGTGTTGTCTATTGATGCATATCTGCCTAGTAATTTTCGTACTACCAAATCAATGTTCAAAACAGGTTTGAAGCACACTAATACATGAGGTTAAAGTTATTGAACTTAATCGACTTACGACATAGTTCCTGTGTTCTCCACTTAATGTAAACACCTTTTCTGTTACATTCTTCACCATATGCTGCTATGGCAGTACACAAACATTCACAGTCACCACCAGAGTCACATCTACAACAGAGCGTTAATAAATTGTCACATATCTAAATGACTAGCATCGGGCAGTGTACATTCTATGCTCAGTAATCAATTAGCCTTCATTCAATGGTGAATCCAATATAATAAAATACAACACAATGCAAATGTAGTTTTCTGATTTGGGGGAAAATAATGTATGAAATAAGAGTTTGTCATACATACCCACATGCATCAAATTGACACCATTTCACAAATGGTTCCGGATCAGCAAGGGCGTGACAGGGTTCAAACACTTGATGCCGAAGTATACTACATCTTTTCTGAGCCCACGTAGCTCTCCAAGGGTTTTCCTGAAAATCAATGAAAACAATGGACAATGTACAATATTAAAAAAAACAATTTTAACTATCGGTATATACATTATTCATAGCACTGTTTATTGACTCCTCAGAAATATTAAAGTACTAAATGTTAGGCTACACACAAGATTTCTCTCAAACATACCTTACAAGGGTTAAGAGTTTCTGCATTGTTGACATCACCACATGAGTCAGATAATTTCCAACTATTGCCGAAGTTATCGGATACTTGTTCCACTATTCCACTTCGTGTTTTAAAGTCGTTTTCCCTGTTACCATCGTAGTTGCCGCACATACCCACCAGTCGTCCACTGTACTCAGGTTTTACTTTAATGTATACACGAGTAGCTGAAATTAAGATTTACACAAACAAATGGTTTATTAGATGTAATTATGTTTTTTCATTAAATTATTCAGTTTTATAGTCACCGGCAATTGGTTCAGGAAGATGCATGTATCATAACTATCAGGAAGAAGTTATTTTCTGAATTATATGTTTGCAAGACTAAAACTGCAAGTTATATGAGTTTTTCAAAAGTTTTATTACATTATTTTTTTTTCTCATCACAGGTGAATGGAATACATAATTCTCCTACTAAGAGATATGTACATGTACACATTAAGCAAAAAAATAATTCGCCTCTGCTAATTTGAGAAAGCAAAAAAAGTGTAGTCTATTTATTTGCCCTCACAAATGCCCTTCATTTGCCCAACCACTTGAGAACTAATATTCTATGCTCAGACTGGAATTGGAATTCTTCCTACCTCCATCCCATATTACTGTTAGACCAATTTCAGTTGTGATCACGACAAAAAGCCCAGCTCTTGCAATCTCTATAGTATTATACTTCTTTGGGAGTGTGATCTCTACACCGTTCACTGTAACTTCCTTGTAACGCAGTAGATGTATTTTAACACTGCCGATGTCAACGTTGACCGACTTAG